ACTCTTTCTACCACATGCATCTGGATTGTTTTCAAAAAACATGCATACTCAGATATGACCTGGTGTGTCTTTATGGGTGAAAAATAGTCACATTTATAAGAAAGAAAAAAGTTACAAAATGAATTTTCCTGCTACACGAATGAAAATGTCTTCGTAATATTATTTGATAACTTTATCGTGACTTGATTGAATATGAATCAGAAATAGCATTTTAATTTTAATACTCGGGTACTTGGAAGTTACTCAGGATTTGTTTTTTTGTTGTACTAGAGATTATAAGCTATATTGTTTAATACCTTTGCTTATTATGCAGAGCAATTGGTCATCACACTAGTTTAGCAGATATTTATCTGCATTATTGGGATATTTTATGCTTTCTAATGTTCAGTCATAGCTTAGCTTAATAGGTTCTTGTAACCATGTCAATCAGAGAAATTAAGATGTTTCTAAAAAATTTATGTAGAAAAAAGTTTGCCAGAATGTTATTGACACAGTAGATTCAAAAATACTTTTTTGGTTTTGTTTCCTGCTGTTTCTTTTAACATGCACACTTACAAACTCTTTTAATGAGTACACCAAGTTTTATACAAATTGAGACAGAAGATGCTTTTGCAAGCTATGGGTCCTGCGTTATGCTAAGGATGCAGCCTGTTTGTGTATTTAAATGTTATTTCGGACAGTAGATACCACACACATTTTAGTGAAGACCTACAAAACCCCTCTGAACTTGCAAAAAGTTACAGATATCCCTACAGTCAAACTGTCCATGCACAGCAGGGCAATCAAAAGTTGAAGGATTTGTGGAAAAAAAACCCCCAGATTTCTCCACCACACAGCTCTGCTTTGTGTTTGAAACTTTGCTATTACTCTACCAAGAAATGGAAGGCTTGGCACACTTTTTTCACTGCTTTTACATCTCCCTAGGTGCATGGTCTCTACCGCACAACTGGTGCTAGTTTTGAGAAAGCGCAGCAGGAGTTTGCAACGGGAGTGATGTCCAACAAAACTGTGCAAACTGCTGCAGCCAACGCCGCATCAACAGCAGCAACCAGTGCAGCTCAGAATGCGTTCAAGGGTAACTAAATGTAGGGACATATAAAAAGTCATGACGGTTCTCTTTAATTGTACTTTATTTTCCAGTCATTTATTATATTCCCTAAAAACATAGATCAAAATACACACAGCATGTTTGTCTCTTCTGCAGCTGTGCATGGGTAAAATGGGAAATGTTTGTTTTATTTTATTATAAATTTATTTATTTTAAAAAGATAACCATTCTCTGCCCTTCTTTAAAGTGTTGCATTCTAGAATATAAAGCCTTCCATATTTTATGGAGGATAAATAATTTCAACAATTGGCCTGAGAATGAATTGTGGTATATAATGATCAAATAAATATATTAAGAATTTGGAGGGGTTTTTAGTGGTTCACTCTGTTTTTTTTTTTAACTTCAGGAAAGCACTTTGGATCTAGATATAAATTCTTTTCTTGTTTTATTTTTAGGATAAGTCTTTTGATATAAACCTGTAAGTTTGCATGAATACTGTTGAGTTATCTGATCTTGTTTAAATAGTGTTTTGGTCCAGAATTTACCTGCACCACTTTATAATTATAGCGTTTGTTTGTATCTGTTTTCATGGAGTATTCTCTACCTGTGAGAAATGAGTATGGTGCAGAAACATTCTCTGTAATAGAATGTATAATGCAGTGTACAGTTTAAGGAAGTTAACTGATGGTTTCAATCTCAGAGCTAAATGATTTGCTATTTTTAATTTCAGTATTCATGTCTTGGGGTAATCGTTTTGCTGGAAAAGAAACAAATATTGACCTTTAGAACACTAGTTTCATGCCCCCCTTTCCTCTTACATGCAGTGGTATTTTTGTGTTTGGGGTTTTTTTAAATTTTTTTTTAGTGTAGTTTTGTGTTTAACAGTGGTACTAAATCTCTAGCCTTGTCAGTCACTCTGTTTACTGCTTGTCCAAAAATCGAAATATACAGTATTTAATTTTCTATTGTCTAAAATCAAGCTTTTTAAGAAATGGAATGTAACAGATGATACATTATTTCATTTTAACGCAACTCAGCCATCTCTGTGATTTGATTTAAGCTGGGAACAAAAGCTTTTAAAATATTTTGAGTTGGAAAAGTGAGAAATCTTCGTCTTTCACAAAGTTAAATTTTAACTCATTGAACTGGAGGCCTAAGAGGTTAAATTGGTGCTGTGGAACTGAACAATCCATAATGGTACGTACCATCAAAATATTCTAGAATTTAATCAAGTCTTACTATAAAGTGATGTTTCTCTCCTTTGAAGGCTATTTGATATTCTTGGATTGCCTCATGAGTTTTATGCACAATACTTGGGCTTTTTTTTTAAAATCTGTTTTAGAAAATTAAAACAGGAAGGGACCACATCCTACAACCTGCATAAGTACACACTGTAGTTGAAATTAATTCAGCTCTTAAAGTGAATTACCTTTAGTAAGACTGAGCATAAAATTCTGAGGCCCCTCCATGTTCTGAATGTGGACAGACTTTCATAGATTAATTCTTTTTCACTACAGTGTATAATAACATAATAACATAAGAGCATTACAAAAAATAAAACCCTTAGCTTAATCCCTGGATCAATATTGTACTGTTAGAATGAAGTACCTATTAGTCTCCTTTCTTTTACCAATTTCTTTAAATCCAGCTTGAATTTGGATAAATGTAGTAGTTTCACCTATGCTGAAGTTCATATTAATGAATATACTTGCTTCTAAATAGTCTCTGCATCATGAAGTTAAAAGTCATTTAAATATTCTGTGTAATAGGGGCTCTAAAATTCTATACTAGTGGACATGCTAGCATTGAACTTAAATTTGCATGGAATATTATTAAAAACCTTCCAGACAAAACCACAATTTTCTGTTGAGATCAGGCATCACGCTTCTAGCAGCTGTATATCAAGATTGTTCTTTTCATAATCTTTTTTATTTAACTTGAGGATTGTATCTAGGAACTCTACTATGGATTACTTTTAAATCTAAATTTAAGCAATTCTCTTTGATATCTCTTGGATATGAATCATAGGGACATCATCCTTGCAATTTAATTTAAGTTTTAATATTGCATAATCACATACATTACCAGAATATATTATGGAAAAAACATTAGGAATAGAACCTGAATTTGGCAGGTAGATTTTTTTTCCCCAAATGTTTAACTGCTCTTTGAGAAAACATATTTAATGTTCTATGTATAGGGATCGTTGATTTATAATGTCATGGGTTGAATGTACAGATTTAAACCCCCTAAGTGAAATTCAAGGTTCAGTTACACGTGAATTGTTTAAACCAGAAATCTCTGACACTTTGCAGTCCAAAAGGGAGGGAGAAGTTTGAGTTTAGCTTTGACAACAGAAGGCTGATATTTGTTAAAATATTTTGTACCTAACTCAAACTAGATTTTACAGTCTCTTATTAATTAATTATTAATTAACTAATTATTAATCAGAGTATGGCACCCACTTAAGTTGTCATTATGTAGTATTGTGGCAAATTGAGTACAAAGTATGAAGTTTAAACACTGGAATGTCTGTAGTCATTGATCTGTAATTTAGGAGTTGGTTTTATTTATCTGGGGGATGTTTGTATATTTTGTAAATTACTAACAATGCTCTGCCATCCTGGTGAATGTCATGGTTCTCTACAAATGCACTTCTTCTGTCTCTCTGTTGCATGTCTGAGTAGTTCAGAAGTTTTGTATATTTATGGTATTAACACAGTGTCATAGAATAAAAAAAGTCTTTTTTCCTGATTGTTTGCTCTGTATAGTTTTGAACAATATAGGGATTTTTCTTTTAAAGGTCAGGATAACATGCAGGGTGGCTGATCTATGTAAAAGTCTCACTTGGTTTTTATAATTCTGCTGAAATGGGGAAGCAAAATGTCCACTATCAAAATAATACATTAGGGTAACGAGAATTAGTCTACTCAACTGTTATGAAGAAAATTCTTAAACACTTGCAGCCCACTTTCTTGTGCTCTAAACTTAAGAGGGTTAAAATCTAAACATGTTCTGTCATTACTGAATGAAATTTTACAGGTATTAAGTGAATCCTAAAACATTATTGAAAGTAAAATGAAGTTGCTGAAAACAGCATTGCTTTGGTACTGTTTATTTTCCTAATTTCTGTCTATGAATTGATACTTCTGTATCACTGCTGTGTCTTGCCTTTTTTTTTTTTTAGGCACTATCACAGTCTGTTGATTTTTTTTCATATCATATCAACTGTAACACCTGCTCTCTAGTACTGAATTTATTACCAGGTTTTCTTTGAAGGGCAAAATGAGTTCATCTAGACCACTGTGACGTAGTTATGTTTGCAAATACACAATACAGAGAACAGCACTCTGAGGTACAGTTGGGATTATTTTGGGAGATAGCAGATGTGAGTTTTTGAAGACACCTGCGCATGCATGCATCATTTAGTAGTGAAATTCTTCATCAACTTAATCTGTTTCTTTGTAATTTACAGATCTAGGGTGGCAGTGGCAACAGACTAAACAGTTTTTGAACTTTCTTGTAAATGGTAAGCACAGTTGTGCAGCATGATACAGTCATGTTTTATGATTAGAATTATTGCACAATTTAAGTGCTGTTGTGGGGAGATAATTCCCCTGATTTGCACAGGCTAGTTGTAAGCACTAAGTTGGGAAAGCAAGCACACACACAGAAAACAGCACAGGGAAGAGAACTGTGATTAAAAATACATTTTAATTGAAATTTAGATTAGAAATAACACATTAGGTACATCATTCATGCTAACAAATGTACATAGTGGTGACTTAAGAACAGAATAACAGTGCCACAAATAAACCATGGCTCAAAATCTACTCTAGCTGGATTGCCACAGCCTCTCTTCCTATACAAGGCGGCTGTGGTGTATACATTGCTGCCATGCTCTGCTGTTGTTGGGCTCTGTCCATTCCTTGTGGTAGGCACCAGTGCCCACTGCTTTCAAGGAAGACTTGAACTCTTCTCCATTTATCACTAGGACATGAGATACTCTGATGTGGGATAACAACGCAAAATGGTAATGATTTGGCTGAAAAAAACATCTCGGAATCCAGAGAACTTTATTGAGTAAAATAGATACAAAGGTGATATAGACAACCCAGAAATAGCTCAATAGGAATGTTTTTTGCAGTGCCACATTATAAATAAAGCCCATTAAGAAAAATTGCTGAGCCTTTTCAGCTTTTAGATTGTATATTGCCAGAGATGGATACAGCTTCACATTTTAATTGTCTGTATTGTATAGATCTGAGTATTTCAAATCAATCTAGAAGAGGCTTTTGTTTAAATCTTTAAGCGACTGTTACTACTGTTGTATTCATCTTCAAAATGAGTGATTTTGTTGCATTACTCTATGCTTAGTTTGTCCACAACATCAAAACTCCAGCCACTTCTTCCCTGGGAAGTCACTTTTCAAATACCTTGTTTAAAACCAAAACCATAAAAAATAAACAAACCCCCCTCCAAACAAACAAAAAAAACCCCAAACCAAAACCCATTCCCATTATTGCACATCTCACACAAGTTTATATATATATATATATTAAAAAAAAAAAGCTACAATTTTAAAAAAAAAGTCTATGGCACTTTACAGACTATAAGTTTACAAAGTCAATCAAACCACAGATGTTTGAAGAATTTTTCAGTACCACAAAACCAAAGTTAAGCTGAACTAATTGGCGCACAGGTTTTAAAGAATCCGCAGCAAGTTCTTCTAGATCTTATGCAGTGCATGTACATCAAGAAGTAGTTAAACTCTGCAGCCCCCTCATGAAATTAATTAAATTAGTTTAAAGCTGATTTCTCTCTCTCCCCCCCCCCCCCAAACTTTTTTAAAAGCACCTCCTGGGGGGAATTTCAGAACAACTTTAAAAAACCAACAGAACCCTGAGAAAAAGAAATTCTGATTATTTTTTTCTGTATTTTTTCCCAGCCTGTCTTCTATCTGTGTTATGTGATGAACATGGCTATTCTTGCAAGTTAGTTGATTATGCTGTTACAGAGCAAGTTGATAGTATACCAGCAACAAGCAGAAAAGCTGGTTCTTCTTGGTTACAAATGCAAACAAAAGCAAAACATGCCACTGAAAATACTTCCTTTGTACTTAAAAACCCCACTATTAAATTTTTCCAAGCGTTCTGTAGATCACAGCAGAGGTCGGCTAGTAATGTATATGAAGGTTGGTCACTGTTTACTTCTAAGCCAAAGCACAGCTGAGCTAGTGCCCTAGCCTCTGTAGCACACACTCCAGTAGGGGGCTCTGGAGGAACATCAGAAGGATGGTTTGAATCACCTTGCAGCTGTGCTGGACAAGCCAAGTGCATGCTCTTCAGATGGTATGTTTG